TATATATATATATATATAGCAGATCGAGTATGGTCGTCTTTTCTACAATTTTTATATTTCGGGCCTACCGAGTTTTTGTCTTAAAAAGAAAACTCTTTCACATCAATTACCCCATCTTGTTGAATGCATGAAAAGAAAGAATTTGTTGTTTCACGTACTCTTTTCCTCAAATGATGCAATGAGATAAGTTAATACATTTGTAATCAGAAAAATCAAACCAAGTTAAAAAAGCTAGCACTTTTTTTTTTATAGTAACTTAAAAAGCTAAACATATTATGGTACCAATACTTATAAATGGATTTTACATATACAATTTATCTAACGAGACATGCTAAATGTCTCTTTGATTGTACAACAACTTAATTCAATGGTCAATAATACATCGTTCAATCATAGATCAACATTTTGATTTGTTGCACCACTAAACAATAGATAATCATCTTCTTTCAATAACAAAGTCAATAACCCTATTTGTTATCTTGGCCAAAGTTGTAACTTTTATAAAAAAAAAAAAAAAAAAATGTCTAGAGCGTGTATTTATAATGGAGAAAATTATTTTACTCTATCAGTGGAAATTGTGTTTTAACCATTATATCAGTTTTTTAGCAATTTGATATACAATAAGAGCATTTTTGGGTCGAGCGCCATAAATTTTTAATGAGCACATGCACATATCTCACTATTATAAAATTAGCTTAATAATTAAAAATAATAGTTCTTATCAATAAAATAAAATAACTTCTCCACCATAAAGATTCCCTTATTCAGATTGAGTTCACCATTTTCCTTTCCGAATTTTAAAGTTTTATTCGTCAATGTTTAATATTCCATTAAAAAAATGGCATTAACAAACAGGATACATGCATGCATGCCATTCTGTTTCCAAACTGGAATCATAGCCCTGTTAGGGAATAATATTACTCTTGAATTTTTTAAGATAATGGAGAGAGCTTAACCTGTATTTACTACTATAATAAATATTTCCACCAAAACTAACATATAAATTAATATTAAACATATAAAATAAAGCTAGACCTGCAAATGGCCGTGATTGAGCTGTGATCACAAATGTGACAGCTCTACCAATAAGGCTAGCTGCTTTCTCAAAGAAAAAAACATAAGTATACCAATAAGGCTATTAATAAAGTTCTGTTCATTTTACCGATTTAAATTTAAAATTTGAGTTTTATTATAGTAAATTTTTTTTAAAAATATTCACATTTAATTTTTTTACTATAGTAAAAAACTCTTATATAAAATCACATATTAATTCAAATTAAAAATTTAAATAAACAAACTAAACGGATATATATATATATATATATATATATTTATAGATTCGCTGTCACGTAAGACGACTTCCACGCGTGTGCACACAAGATTCTCTCAGGTGCACACATTAATTAAGGTTCACTTATTATTGTCTTTTTCTTTTTAATTTTTTTTTCTTTTGGGTTTAAAGCCTAATCAAGTTTTTGACTGCAATTGGATGACCCCTTTCCGACTCGGGTATTCATTATTCAACAATAATCAATGCCTTTCACGTTGTGATATGGACCACACGGGATCAAACCGCCCCTAATGATAATAATCCAACTTGTCTTTCTTGCCCTTCAATTCAAAGTAATGTGTGAAATTCCCTAAATACCCCTCCAAGTTGACTAATATACCCTTTACGTTTAATGCCTTTTTAGTGCTTAATTATCGTAATTAAAAAATGGCCTATATTTGTAGCTACATCCTCGGAGTTTATATGTAGCTACATCCTCGGAGTTTATATTCTCCGTGAATCCATGGTATGTTAATTTACAACTCTACCCTCGATTTCTTTGGATCCAATTCTTAACTATTATTTATCTTTATCTTTAGTTAAAGATTTCCATGAACGAAGCACTAGATTGAGCATTTTACCCCCTTATCCTAATTAAGGGACGAAGAGTTAAGCAAATCAAATCTTTATTTAACGACTTAATTAGGTAATGTATTCCGACTAATTAGCTAATGTCGCTTTTATTTGAGTGATCCTAGGTTTTAGGGTCAAATATTCACTAATTTATCTATTTTATTTGTTCTCTAAATACCATCATCATACAGTCAGATTTTTTTTTCCTTTTCACCCTTGAGTTATTGCAAATCGTCGTTCAAAAGCAATAGATCTAGACGAATTTGACAAACTTGCTCTCCACGAAATATGAACTTTTCACTTTCAAAAAATATAAAAGAAAAGTTACAAAGAAGCACGACCACTAAGCTATGTTTGGTTCATGTATTAAAATCATGTGATTAGAACCATTTTTTATTTACGTGTATTTTTTGTGAGAGAAAACACTGTAGCGAATCATGAACCATGATTCAAATCATTGTTTAAATCCTCTAACCAAATATCCCCTAAGCTACGAAAACTTCACGCTAGCACTCATATATGATGAATACGAAGTCATATATTAAGTTAATACATATAAAAAAATTTCCTGTAATTCATTGATAATTGACGCGTTTATATAAAATTTGATGCTTTAGAAATTGTTCGTTGCTTTGATTTGAGGATTTAATTTAAAAAGTAAATTAATGTGAGAGAAAACATTATAATAGAAAAATGTTGAATTTAACTTTTTGTGAGAAAACTTTGTAACAAAAATTTAAATTATGATTTGAACTAGCTAAATGAGTGGAACCTAAACAATTGTGATTCAATCTTAACCTTGTGTTTAGTATAAAGAAATTAAGAAAAAATAAATTGGAACTAAAAAAGGTTATATAACCCACGTGAGGAAAATATAAATGAAGGGTTTGATGTTTCTCTTATTATGTTTTGTTAGATTGTCTAATCTAACCTTTTCTCTCATATTATATAACTGTGGCTCCAAAAAAATTTTCATTAATTCCACTATTCCCTATTTTCTCATTTTTTATTCTCTTATCAAACAAGCTCTTAATTAGACTATGTTTGGTACTAGAAAAAAAAAACTATGAATTAAAAAAAAAAAAAAACATATAAGCTGAGTGTGAAAAATAGGAAGTAGAGAGAGGATCTCTCTTATGGTGTTTGGTAGAAAATCTCTCTTCTAATATATTCGTATTGGAGAGATTAAAACTTGGGGTCTCTATATAAATCAATTTCCTCATACAACCTTATCTCCTATTTTTCTCCTACTAAACAATTATAAGTCCCTAAATGTTTCCCTTAATCCCCCAACTCTCCATCTATTCCTTGTTTTTTTTTTTTTTTCTACTAAACAAGTTCTTGTGCTCCTATGCGAGAGACGTAAAATAAGAATGATAGAGAGAGTTGGAGGATGGAGAATATAAAGTACAAAAAGGATTATTATAATTTTTCGTATTGTTTAGCTTACGAGTTGGATAAATCCTTTTCTTAATGGAAGGATTCAATTTATGAGACGTTTAGTTCATAGATTCAGAACTATGATTCAAAATCATTCTCAGTTTACGTGTGTTTTTTGTGAGAGAAAATACTGTATCGAACAACGAACCATGATCCGAATCGTAGCCTTAATGAAAATTAGCCTCTCATCCAGCTCCTTTGATCTCCTCTCTCCAACAAATCGGGCATCTCTCTTCCTCCATCTCTTCATCTAGCCAAACACACTTTAGAGGAACCAAATAATAAAGTAATTGTAAACATAATTAGATTAGTCACAAAATACCGAAGGGTGAAAAGCGTAAATTCAGTTCCACCCCCTCTATGCCATCCCTAGCTTGCTTCTCACATCGACCCTTTTTGAAAAGACCACAATACCCATATCTAGTTTTGTCCACAATTGTCAGATGCAAGCGTCAAGACCCGTCAAAATAAATAAAGAAATAATATAAGCAAGGACGGAGAGCGATAGGGGAAAGGACAACGAAACTCGCTTACGCTTACACTTGCAAAAGCACAACTCCAAATCTCTCTCTCTCTCTCTCTCTAACCTCTCTACCTGACTAAGACCGAAAGAAAAAACCTATATAAACAGACTCCCGCTATTTCTGCATCTCTCGCTAAAAAAACCATACGCATTTGCGCAAACCTCTCTCTCTCTCTCTCTTCCCCCTCGCTCTCTCTCTCCTCTCTTTCTCCGTAATTTTCATGGATTCCCCCTCTCGCTCCTCCGTCATCGTCATCGGCGCCGGCGTCTCCGGTCTGTAATTTCAAGAATTCCGAACCGTTTTCTTTCTCTGGTTCTTTCTTTCTTTCTTTCTTCTGATTTCGTTTTGTTTGATCATGATGAGTGCTGTAGGTATATCGGCAGCGAAAGTGCTGGCGGAGAAGGGAATAGAGGACTTGCTGATTCTAGAAGCTTCGGATCGCATCGGCGGGAGAATCCGGAAAGAGAACTTCGGCGGTGTGTCGGTGGAGCTCGGCGCCGGGTGGATCGCCGGCGTCGGCGGCAAGGAGTCCAATCCGGTTTGGGATCTCGCCGCCAAATCCTCTCTCCGCACCTGCTTCTCCGATTATAGTAATGCTCGCTACAACATCTACGATCGAAGGTCCGATTTTTCTTTTTTCGGAAGATTTTTTTTATCGTTTGTTTGATTTGGATTGGATTGAAACAGGATCGTTTGTGTGGTTTTTTCAGCGGGAAGATATTCCCGAGTGGAATCGCCGCCGACTCGTACAAGAGAGCGGTGGAATCGGCAATTCAGCAGCTGAGAATCCAAGAGGCCAATCCTTGTTCTCGCGACCTCTACAAAGTCTCCGAACCGCCTTCGTATGTCTCTCTCTCTCTCTCTCTCTCTCTCTCTCTCTCTCTTCCCACTTCTTGCTTCTCAAATTGATTTTTTTCCCAGAGCGCCAAAAACGCCAATAGAGCTCGCCATTGACTTCATCCTTCACGATTTCGAGATGGCAGGTGGGTTTCTCATTTTCTGTTTGGGGGCTAAGAAAATCGGAGGGGGGAAAAATATCATTTATTCATTCTATATTGGGTTAGCTGCGTCCAAATTTATGATTATTAAAAAAAAAATCTTTTAAAAAATATTTCTTTTTGAATGTCCTTTGTTTCAGAGGTTGAACCCATATCGACCTATGTGGATTTTGGAGAGCGAGAATTTCTAGTTGCAGATGAGAGAGGGTATGAGCATTTGCTTTACAAAATGGCTGAAGATTTCCTCTTCACCTCCGGGGGTAAAATCTTGGATAGCCGCCTCAAACTCAATAAGGTACACAAATAATTTCATATGATTTTATCTTTTTGTTTTTTTTTTTGTTTTTTTTAAATGAGTCAATCATAACAATGAAAAAGAAGAAAAAGAAAAAGGGACGTAGATGAGTTAAATACAGAAGAAGAAGAAGAAGAAGCAGAAGAAGAAGAAAAGTAGTAGGGGAAAAGCTCTCCTACTTTTTCTGTTATGCATGTACTGTTGACATTTCTTTCATATATATATGTTTTTTAAATAGAGTTGAGATTTATTGACCCAACTTTTGGAGTTTATAGATAATGACGTTTTCTATTTCTTCCCCCATTATTTTGCTTCCTTAATCGTGATTATAATATCGCGAAAAAAACGCCCCCTTTGGCACCTTCCTTTACTGGGGTCAACCCACTTTTTAGTTGTTATTGTTTTTAAACAAAAATAATTCTGTTTTTTTATTCTACAGGGCCTGGATTCTATGCTTTAGGTTCATTCATGATTATATTCAAAGAGTTGTTGATTAATATCTTATAAAATTGCCATTTTTTTAATCTTATATCACGGGCAACCGCTTCCTTTTTAATTTGTTTTGTTTGTTTGTAATCTGTCAAATTTTCTAGAATCAAGTGTAACTACCAGACATAATCTACAATTAGATGCAAAATGATTGAACATCTAGGTGGCTATTGACTTGAATATTGGACAACTTTTGTGAGGAGTAATTTTCAGAATTGAGTCAAAAAGTCCTTCACACTATTAATATATGGTTTGAGTATCGATAAATTCTAAATGTAAAAGAACATGAACTTCTCTTCTATGCTAACTTTAGTAATATTGAAATACATAGTTCTCCTAAGATTTTTCTTTCTTGGTTTTTGGTTGAGATAATTGTGCTTCTTGACCCGTTGTAATAATTTCTGGTTTTGAAACTATAAGAATCAACATTCAATCCCAATGGTTTGGCATTTGACCTTTTTGTCGCATGTAATTCAGTTGCTCACAAGAAAATAAGCACTTTTTGAGTCCATGACCCCACAAAGAGCCATTCCTTGACCTACCAACAATATCTTTGATTTCAATCATAGAACCATGGATTGCCATTATCCTTTTCGGTCTTTTTCCTCTCACCTTATTTATTTTCAAAGGCCTTTTACCACTTATTAATAAGTAGGACCCCAAAAGGTCCCCAATTTGCCTTGTTCTGCAGTGTCCATTGTCTATTATGACTTGAGAACAATAACCGTTGAGGTGAGATGTCATATCAGCTCATATGAGGAACATGAAAATAGGAGTCTTGTCACTTTTTTTCCCCCTATCAAATTAGTTATTAATATTTGAATTATTTGATAGGGTTATTTTCATCATATCATAAAACTTAATGAAAGTAATTCAGACCGTATCCTATCCATGATAAGTGATATTTTCCTTTCTTAGAATTCCCGACTGCTTAAAAATAGTATCCACTTGGATATTTGTATTGTACTAATGATTCAATTCATTATGTCCAATAAAAAATTCTGAGCATATTCCCCTCCAATAAATTTTTTTTTGTCCTTTTGTTTAAATCTAATTTTGTTGACTTTTTCATGTTTTGACTGTTCAAAATCTTAGCTTGGGGGGTTGTCTTAGGCTCCCACATCTCAAGCGCTTTGATAATGGAGCATTTATATTATGATCTGATTTGATCTGATCATGCATGATTTTGGGGCAGGTTGTTCGGGAATTACAGCACTCGAGAAACGGCGTTACGGTAATAACGGAGGATGGTTCTGTCTACGATGCTGACTACGTTGTTTTGTCTGTTAGCATTGGCGTTCTCCAAAGCGACCTCATTTCCTTCAACCCATCCTTACCCGTACGTTTCATCTTCCTTTTATTTTTATTATGTCGTCTTTAATATATTTTCTTCCTCTTTTGGAATGACTATGCAATTACATACATATAATAATAGATAACATCTATATTTGATTTGGAGAATCTTTACCGTTCAATGTGCTTCCTCTTACTCTGGTTATTGTCCAACACTTTCTGATAAATTTGTCCGACATATGGTGGAAGCTAAAAGCTTGGGTTCCCTAGGATATGGGTCCATCTAGGTGGGAGTTCCAATCTCAACTTGCATACTTGTTTATATAGATATAGAGAGAGGGTATGGCCCACAACATTGAATGCATTTGGTTGTAGTCACTAGTCAGAATCCATAGACAGCTAGGTCTCATTCCCAACAGAAGTGTATGCTGGCTGCTGACGCCAGGGAAAGATTTTCGAGGTGTTGTTTTGTGCAAATCCTGTGGATTGCTGTATCTCTAGAATTCCAACCCACAGGATTACTATGGGATGCCCCATTTCTTGATTTGTTGGTTGGTGACCAAGCAGCATCTTTTTTTTTAAGAGAGAGAAACTAAGGATGCCCTTCTCCTCACTTTTATTTTTCATTTTAGAATTTACTATCAGTTACAAGTCGTGGTCACAATTGTACAATTTAAATCACAGCGATAAAATGAGGAATATTTAGATAACACTGATACATTTGTGTCATTAGAATTGTCTGGTTTAAATAATGCTGTTGGGAAAATAGCCCCCAGCTGAAAAATTCCCCTTGTCGCCCGTTCATTTTCTGTCTCCGGCCTCTAGCAATTAAAGATTGGGTCATTTGAAAGTTATTTTGGGGTTAGATTTGTATTTTATGAAACTGTATTAACTTATTCTTTTAATAATGGAACAGAGATGGAAAACAGAGGCCATACAACAATGTGATGTGATGGTGTATACAAAGATCTTTCTTAAGTTTCCTTATAAGTTCTGGCCTTGTGGACCCGGCAAAGAGTTCTTCATTTATGCCCATGAGCGCAGAGGCTACTATACCTTTTGGCAGGTTGGTAATTTACCTTCTTATTATTTCCATAGTTTTTGCCTACTAAATTTATCTGAACTTTACACTTCTTTTTGTGAAATTTCTATATGTTCTTTATGCGAAACGTTTTTGATAGTTTTATTTAACCAGATCTTTAATTGAAGATTACTTCATTCTTCCTTTTCCTCCTAAACGTCCCTTTCCAATCATAATGAAAGCAAGATTCGATCTTAAATTCAGAGACTTGATAGTTAGAGATTTTAACTAAATTAGCGCACCTTTGCAATGTGTCAAATTAATGCACTTTTAATTTTGAAAGCGTACAATTTTATTAAATTAGCGTTTACTTCTTGATGAAACCTGCTGATTTACTAAATAAAATAGATATATATATATATATATATATATATATATATATATATATATAAAGATTAATGTTGAGAGTAAAAGTTGGCACTATTTCTCCTTTTTTTTCCTTGAAAGGTTTTCTGTTTAAATTTTGATTACGACCTTGTCTGCCCTATGTTTTTTCACAGTTGGTTTGCATCGACCTCCATTTTCAATTTGTTAATAAAAAACTAATTCTTTCCCCCCTCATGTAGTGTTAAAAGACTTTTTACATTATTTGTCTTGTATAGTTCTTCCTTTGATGATGTATTTGATGTTTGTGTCGCTATCTTAGAGCTGGCAATATTTGTTGAAAATATGGATACATATCTGTCTCAGCTGTTGTTCATTTCTTTATTCCTTTAATCACTTATATTATAATCAAATTTCAGACGTATTGGATCTTTTGAATTGATCGTTTTGTTTTTACTGTGAAAGATTTGATTTAATTTAATGGCCACACGTGGCCTGTTGCATAGACATTGTGGGATCTCCTTTGTCTGTTTGGTTTCCAATGTTGTTTAGTTGATCAATGTGGATTCTGTAAAAAGCTAATACCTAATTTATGACTCTCATAAAATATTATGAGAGATTGATTAGCATAACACCTTATTTTAATATCGTCACGGAATTGGATTCCTCTCTATAATATTTTTGTTCGAACTACGGTATCTTTCAGCCATTCGATGATAAAAAAGTAGAAAATCGGTTGGAGAAACAAAAGCTGCCAAATTTTTAACGGATGAGATCATTTTTAAACTTGATTTGGTGGCTGAAAACAGGACGTATCTTAGTATTACGAGTACTTTTCCTTCACCTCCTCGCCGTCTTTCTTGGCCTAAATAGTCAAATTTGTATTTGATGTCATGATCAGCACATGGAAAACGCTTATCCAGGGTCAAATATCCTGGTGGTGACGTTGACCAACGGTGAATCAAAGCGTGTGGAGGCTCAACCTGATGGGGAGACATTGAAAGAAGCCATGGAAGTGCTTAGAAATATGTTTGGGCCTGATATTCCTGATGCTACTGATATACTTGTGCCTCGCTGGTACAACAACAGGTTTCAGCGTGGCAGCTACAGTAACTATCCTATTATCACCAATGACCAAGATTTTCATGATATCAAGGTTTTTCCCTATCTCATTTACGCCTCTTATTTCTTTATTATTATTGTTATTATTATTATTATAATTATTATTCACTTACAATCTTACTCATATCCCTGAAAAATATTTGTGTATGTATATGTGTTATTGTTTCTTGCACCCCTTGATAAGGCATCATTAGGATGAATTAAATATTGCAACGGGTCAATTTGGTTTGCTGAAAATGATTCCCTAATTAAAGTTGTCACTGCCTTATTCCTAAAGCCTCACACTACCATTTCTTAATTCAAAATTTTAAATGGGCATTAATCTGGTGATATTACTATTGGGGAAGTTTCCTTGGACTCTCTTGAGCATCCTTAGAAAACACAAAAAGCTTGCCTAGAAGTATTGACATAATTTAAGATGCTAAACGTTCTACAATTTGTTTGTTTTCTATGTTGCCATCAGACGCCGGTGGGACGGATATTCTTCACCGGAGAACACACAAGCGAAAGATTTAGTGGCTATGTCCATGGTGGATACCTTGCCGGTAAGAGGGAAAAAAAAAAAGAAAAGATCTTCACAGTTACTACAAACATGATTTGGAAGGTGTTACTTACATGTGAATGTTGTTACATGATCTAATAGGTATTGGCACGGGTAAAGCTTTGCTAGAAGAGATGGAGAAAGACAAGGAAAGAAAAAGCGAGAGTCAAACATTTTTGCTAGAACCCTTGTTAGCGTTGACCGGTTCGTTGACTTTGACACAGACAGATACAGTTTCGGGTCCTCACAAATGCGAAATCCCCACACAATTATACCTCAGTAGCAACATTGGCATCCAAGAAGCGATATTATGACTAGAAGAACCTTTATACAATCATCCTCACCTTGATGAAGCTGAAAATATGATCACAACGAGAGATGTCAAGAAGGGCTTGGACAAAAATTACTTTCAGGCCCTTGGCGCCATCCATGAATTTGATTGAAGAGGCCAACCAAATGGGGGAATATAATGTGCGGAAAGATGCACATTTTTTTCCCATGGAGGGCATATATGATTGTTGCTGGGGGGGTATATATCAAAATATCAATTGGGGCAACGTTTTGGAGGTCGGAAAGGGAATTATTTTTGGCATTAATTTGAAGATTGGTTCGTTATTGCAGGAATGGAGATTTAAGGGAGCAAATTGGGAATACTAGGGTTCTAATTGTACTACTTAACACTTCATATTAATAAGTTAATACAATTATATCATTTCTTTTGGTGTTAAAATTTTCCAATTCTTTGTTGTTTCTTCTTGATTCTTGATTAATACACTCCGTCATCCAGCAAAACAAACAAAAAGACGAGCTTTGGTTTCTGATTGCAAGGTTTTGATCATTATGGTCCAAAACCAGGCTACTGAAGTTCATAAAGAAGACGATAGAAAGTAGTGGTAATTCACAATAATTTTGAAAATGACAATAATAAAAGAATTTCTGTAGATTTTAAAATCCATGGAAAAGAGAAAAGATGATTCAGATGCGGAAAGTGGAATCCTTTTCTAATGTGTCTCATCTCTTTCGATCAATTTTGCGCAGAATGTGTCTCCTCCATTCTTGAACGTTTCATACCACTTTTCATTTCAAAAAAGAAGGTAGTTAATGAAAAATTTAGTAATAGGTCTAGCAATTTGCAGCCATATAAGGTTTTCGCAATCCATTTGTAATCCTGTATCCTTAAAAAATAATGAAACATTTACTCTTTTATATTAAATTTAGCATTTTCATTGTGAATCCAATAACCATTTCAAAACTGCAATCAATAATAAGTTCCCCTTTTTCATTGACAAAAACAGAGGATTTAAACCATTTGCAATCCATCAGGTAATATAAACCAAAAGACAATCTTCCATAATTTGAAATCCAAGGTAAATCAAACCACCTTTGATCATCAAAATAGCCATAACCCATATCATGTTTTTAGAAGAGCAAACCATAACCCAAATAAAGGCATGAAAAAAATAACAAATTGTTGCATTATAAGTGATATCAAAATCAACCATATCCAAGACGATTAAGTACGCGTAAAGTTGCCTACCGTTGACGTGCATGGCGCACCCATAAATTAAAAAGTAAGACTTGTCCAGAAAGTAACTTAGTCCTAAAGGTTTGATGCATTTTGTCCTGAGCCCAACCTAATTTTCTAGTGAACACGGGCGATGTAGAAAAAATGCATGGCTCCAAAATCAAACAATACAAATGAAGTTTGATTGACGATAGAAAACTGACTTTGTCACCACGTTAGAGATTCCTGCATTGACGTTGTTCCAAGTATAAGCATAATTATGGGCTTGTGAAACTAGAGGCGCTTCGAGACAGCTTTGATTGGTCTGCGGTCGCTGCTGAGGTCGCTGCTGCTGCTGCTATCGGGGCTGGTTCTGCTGCTATGGTTCTGCTTATTCAAATAGCAGTCCTCCGAATAGTGGCTCAGATATTATTCTTATGTTTCATAAAACAACTATGTTTTCATATACCCAATCCCTGACATACTCTTTATTGTACATTCTAAGACTCTGTTCATTTCACCGATTTGAGTTTAAAATTCGAATTTTATTACAGTAAAACACTATAAAAAACAATCACATCTAACTTTTTACAATAGTAAAAAACTCTCACAAAAAATCGCATCTCAACTCAAATCAACAAACTAAACAGACCTTAAGACTTTGCACTTCATCATCATTTTATATTTTAAATTTGACATGCCATACCATTCATTTCTTTCATTCATTATGATTCATCATGGTTACCCTTGGCTAGGCTTAAATAAATTTGGTTAAAAGTTTGCCATTCATACATTGTTCAAATTGCAAATAAGTTAGCCATTCACACACCCTCCCAAGTCCTAAAAAAAAAATTATAATCAAAACCCATGGCAGCAAACAATATTTATATAATCAGATCTGCGAAGTGCTTAGAGCATAAAAAAATGTGTTGTTCAACATCTGGTACACGCACACAATCAGTCAATCGCTACCTTGTCATTCTCCAAATAAAACACATAAATAAACCCAACCCTTAAGGGTCTAACATAATAATAAAAATAAAAATAAAAACTCAACACCAAATCAAAGAAAACCCAAAAATTCCAAAGTCAAACCACAAGTGGCAGAGATCAAAACCCATGATCCATAATTGCATAAGCAATACTTAACACACAATTCCTAACATAATTAATATTAACAGAAAAGATATGTCTTTCAAAGATTTAGAAATAAGGTAATTTCTCAGTCTACATATAAATAGTTTGTTGTTGCTTCTTCTGAGGTTACAAACAAAAATCACAACTATCCCCTGCAAAAGTGCAAAGGAAACACAAACACAATTACAATCGTGTGCGAGTTTGATGTTTAATGTTTATTCATCAGCTTTAAATGACCAAGCGACAACTGGTTTCCCACATGCCACAAACGACAATTAATTTTCGTTTTGCTTAACAGACTGACAAACTTGAAACCACCGGTTGTATAAAAGAGAGAAAACAAAGAAATTGAATTGCATACAAAAGGAAAAAAAAAAAAAGAAGCTTTCATAATTCATAATAACTCAAAAAACACGGAACACAACAGAAACTACTAAATCCAAAAAAAAAAAAAAAACCCAGAAACCTGAATGATCCCACGGATCTGTGTGAAGGTTTTCAGATCTCATTCTACAGTGGCTCTGTCTTCGACGAAATTATTTAAAGATCTATTTTTTTTTAAAGCTTCATCTTTATAAGAATTTCTCTCTGCCTTTAAATAAAACAAACAAACAAACAAACAAAAAACCTTTAATTTTGATGTAATGCTTCTGATTGTTGTGGTCCAAAACAAGACAACTAGAAAGCAGATGTAAGTCACAAGAATTAACACAAAACGAAGGGATTTCTGTAAATATTAAAAGCAATTTCAAAAACAAAAATAAACAAATAAAAGAACTTTTCCATGTGCGTTGTGTTCTTCATAACTCCACTTGGCTAACATGAAGATGCACACTTTCCATGGCCACCTTTGTAGTCGAATTGAAGACAAGAATGACTTTGATATCAGTTGATATTTATGCTCTCGTGATGTCTTCAAATTCAACTACAAAGAAAGACATAGGAGTGAGAGAGTAAAGAACAGAGTTAGAGAGACATGCGGAAGGGGTTTGGTGGGTTTCAACGAAGAATGGAGACCAAAAGAAGAATTTATATTAGGGTAAAGGGATACAAAAGTAATTTTAGTATGTCATTTTTTATGTTGAGGTCGAAATTGGCATTTCAAAAAAAACGAAAAAGGATCAAATTTGGTAAACGACGTGTCTTGGCACTTTATTTTATTTTATTTTATTTTGTTTTATCGAGTTTGTGTTTCTTTTTTGTGAGTTTTTCTTAGGTCGGTAATATGGATCACGATACGATAACATGAATAAAAAATAACACGAATTTTATGGGTTATGGTTGAGAAAAAAAAAATTTCGAATCAGAATTGGGTCGACCAGAAATTGACACGAAAAATACGGGTCAATTTCGAGTTAGATCCGCCTAACCCGAACATGACACGAAACTCGTAAAAAACTAAAAAAATAAATATATTTTTCATTACATATTTTTTATTTTATTATGAGCTTGTGATATCATGATAGTTATACCCAAAATCTTATACTATTATTTGCTTAATTTCAATGGATGTTATTGTATTTTAGTGTGCTATGAATTTTAAATTATTTCTAATATATAAAAAACTAAATAAAAGTATACAATTTTCGTGTTAATTTCTGATCACGGGTCAATTTCGTGTCACGGGTTACTATCGTGCCGTATCGTGTCAACCCGTAAAGTAGTCGTATCGTGTTTGTGTTGTGATTTTTAAAAAATTTTGTGTCATGGGTCGTGTTCGAGTTGACTGTAAATTTAAAAAAACTATTAAAATATGACATGAACACGACATGTGACATGAATTGTCACTCCTAGTTTTTTTGGGTTTCATACTTTTAACGGTTGAAACTTGTTGGGGCTCTTTTGGCGCGGGCCTGTCAACGTGGAAGGTGCGAAACTCGTGGCCTCATTTGGTTGGTCAACGTTATATGTACGTCAGTCGTACCCTGTCTGTAGTGACCAAGAAAAATCCCATAATTTTAATAATATAATTCATGTATTCAAGTCAAGGATTTTCCTGGAAAATCATTATACTATGTACATTTTGTGATTGAAGGATTTATGGAATTAACATCTGCATTCCTAAATTCTGTAGCAGATTTCACGTTAAGTTCACATTTTTCCGATCAAGTAAATTCGATCGATAAATTCTCACCGTACTTTAAAACGGAAGAATTTCCAGTATAGATACAGTTAGAGAATCTTAATTTTAAGAATCTCCCAGCACAGTACAACCTAGCATCCAAAACCCGTATACAGGAGAAAATAACTGTCAGTATGAGTTTGGACAGTTTTAATGAGTAAGTTAAGGGAATGGACAAAAGTACAAGG